ACCATATTTTTCTCCTAGACCTGTCCTCTGAACTCCAGAATTCTATGTCCAACTGGCTATACAACAGCTCTACTTGACTAACACACATCCCAAACTTAACAAGTCAACCCTGGGCTCATAATCTTCCCCCCAAACCTGTTCTCTTGCAGTCTTCCCTAGCTAACAACTGACACTTCTTTTCTTTTAAAACGTACATACATGCCTGTACTTAAAGGTGTCAAGCGTTTCCCCACCTCACTCAGCTCTCCATGACCTGTATCTTCTCACTGCTCTGCTATTTTGCTCATACTCTCCCTTGTTCACTCCATACCAGCCACATTGGTTCCCCTGCCCAAGGGGGCCTTTGTATCTGTTATTCCCAATTTCTTAATAGCTCTGCCCCAAATGTCCACATGGTTCCCTCTTTTACTTCTTTCAAATACCACCTTGCTGAGGCCTTTCCTGGCTACCCAATCTAATATTATAAGCCTGCCTTCACATCATATACCCTTAGCTCCCTTCCCTGTTTTATTATTGGCCTTATGTCTTACCATGACTGCACTATATATTTTGCATATTTATTTTGACTATTATGAAGCTCCTCAATAGAAATTCTTTTTTTGTTCACTGTTGTATCCCCGGTACCTTGAGCAGTGGCTGGCACAAACTAGGCTCTCAAAAAATTGTTCAACGCGTGAAGGGAATCAGTGACAATAAGAGCTACCTCTTAGGTAGAACGGTAAGTAGAAAGTAAATGAGATAAGTACTTTGTACATGCTAACGCAGAGTAAATGTTAACTATTTACATTCATATCATATACTCATGTGTATCTGTTGGAAATAATTTTTGGTGGCAACGATGTGAAGGGAAGGAGAAATTCTAATTAAAAGGGATGCTATAGAAGTACATGGTTTTTCAGGTTAGCTTCAAGCAAGGTAAATACAGCTGATGGGAACACCCTGGAGTTTGCCCCAGATAGCAAGCTCCCAGCCCTGCCTGGGGGGTGAGGGAATGTGGGAGGAAGCGGGTGGGAGGCAGGCCGAAATTTATCTGAGTGGGATCATGGGGTCTGTAGGCAGTCTTCTGGATGGCTCTGGGTAAGACCTCTGGGCTACACTGCTGTGTGCTGATGTCTATCTTGAATATCCCCTAGCAGTGCTCACGTTACAGGGTAAGAGACAGGGCTTACAGTATCTTGATGTGCACACCCTAAAGCAATAAAGGACTCCAAGTCTAGGGAAAGGGATTGCTGCATATGTTCATTTACTCTTTAATAGGATGCTCTGCTCTTCAAAATACAAACACTTCTGTTGGATCATAGTGTCTGTATCATATTGCTTTGTGCCTAACACATAGTGGTGTTACATGTTTTTTCATAGGTTGAAGTAAAAATGAAGTTCCTACATCTAAAGGGTCATTATCATTTATAAAACATATCTTAAAGTAAAAAAAAAATGCAATTTTAATAAGGCACTCTAATTCTTCAAGCTATAAAGAATGCTTAATTCTCAAAAGCCTTTGTATCCAGACATAGCTATTTGATTAACTGGTATAGACACAATTGAATAGAACTCTTTTGTAAATCATGGCATCTTTGAATTTTATAACTCAAAGTTGATTTACATGGATTTCCCCAAATTTACTAATTGGCTTCCTACACTCTCACTGAGCCGTCCTGGGAAGAGAGGCAATGAAGCTGTGTAACTGCTACCTTCCTATTGACAGTGTGAATACAACATGTGGTATATAGAGAAAGATATCATGTCCTGTAACCATGTAACACCACATAATGCTCCCCAAACCTTTCCCATTTTCAGAGAGGACACAGTGGCAACCTGTATAGTACATGCCTCAGCATTTCTCTACAATTTGTAATTAGTTTCCCATAAGAATTTGAACTCTGCTTGCTACTCTAGTGCAGATGTGGCTGAGAACCTCTGACTGCACTTCTTTCCAAGTGGGGACCTTAGGCTCTGTATAATAGAGTACAGGATATGCATGTGTATATGCATGCATAGGTATGCAAGTATGTATAAATATGCACACATGCTGTATATATACGTATTATAAGAAAAAAGATAAGCAGAAAATGATGATCCTAATAGAAAAGAAATGAGGAAAGGGATGAAAATGAAGTACAAGGGAATTAGCATTCATTAAGCTTCTGCTATAATCCAGGCACCCAAAAAAGAAGGCAGTGTGGTGAACAAAGATGGGAGTATGCAGCTACCTAGATATTAAAGAAAGAACTTGTAAAATTCTCTTTCCTTAAAGGAGAATGCTGTAAAAATGAATGCTGGCAACCTGTCAGGGAGGGCTTGTCAAGCCATTCAGAGGGAGAACAGAAGGTTATGGGCACTGATTTTGGCTTTGTCTCCCCTGGGTGCTAGGCTGCTGTCTTGCCATGAGATGAGTTATCTTTGAAGTTCTGCTGAGCAGTCTAGATAGAATGACTTAAAAGTGCAAGCCCCTAAACAGGGTTCAGCTTCCCAGAATACAAATATGCTCAGAGAACCAAAAGACGTTAGGAAAAAACCAGCCCAAGACATTTCCCTTTAAGCCCTAGGGAAAGCTAGTAGTATTTTAAATGAAAAGGATTCTGAAAGACTTATATGTTGGAGGTTTCTGGATATTGAAATCAGTTTTTTGTTTTGGGGGATTTTTTCTTTTGTTTCATTCAGGGGGCCTCAAGATTTCTATAATTGCATGTTGTGATTCCTTTGAGGCATTTGAGGTGATGGGCAGAGGGGAATGGTGACCTTGCAGAGTCTCTGGGTAGGTGGAGCTAGTCAAGCTTGGGATGTGACAAGGACAGAGGGATGAAAGTGATAGCTCATTTTGGAAAGCTTCAAAGTAAGCCTTAAGGAAATCCTGTTTAGGAATTTCTGGCCAATTACAGGTTTTGCTTTGGTTGCTTTTGCTGTCTCTACTCCCACTGAACTAAAATCATGTCAGATTTCCTCAGAATTGCCATGTTTATTATGAGACATCTCTACCTCCACTTGCATTTTGGGTTAGACTTCATCATTCAGTCCAATTCTCCATCATTGCCTATGTCCACATTCCTTGCCATATAACTTTGCAGTGCTCTCCCACTGTGGTCAGGGATTGTCTTGGCCTCTGGACTCTGGACTATGCCATGTAATTTTCTTTGGCCAATAGGATGTTTAGGAGGTATGACACAAGCAGAGTACAGAAATGGACCTTCTTCAACACTGGGGCTTGCTTTTCTATCAGGAGAATAACAAACATGTGGCAATAGCAAAGCCCACTAGACAAGCCTACTTTAGAATAGAGTCCCCAGCAAACCAACAGATGTATACATAAGCTCAGCTGGTACAAGCATATTCACCCAGTCTGACCCAGATCAAAATGGCTGAAGCTTGCAGGTGTATAATCAATAAATGATTATTGTTGGATAACACTGGAGTTGTGTGATTTTTTTTGTTACACAGCAAAAGCTGCCGGATACAATTGCCATTTGGTTCATGTCCCTCATGTCTGCCCGAGTCATATTCAATTACCTTAAAATTATTTTGCCTAGGACCCTTCAATGACTTCTTGTTACGGGCTGACCTGTGTTCCTCCAAAATTCATATGTTGAAGTCCTAAACCCCAGTAATTCAAAATGTGACCTTATTTGGAAACAAAGTCATGGAAAATGTAATTAGCTAAGATATGGTCATACCAGAGAAGAGTAGGCCCCTAACTCAATATGACCAGTGTCCTCATAAAAAGAAGAAATTTGGTGGTAGACATGCACATTGGGAGACTGCTATATGAACATGAAGGCAGAGATCGGAGTGATGTGTCTACCCAAGGAACACTAAAGATTCCAGAAATCTTTCAGAGGCTAAGAGAGAGTGATAGAACAGATTCTCTTCCACAGCCCTCAAAAGGAGCTATCCTGCCAATACCTTGATCTCAGACTTTTGGCCTCTAGAACTGTGAGACAACACATTCTTGCTATTAAAGCCACTCCCATTACCTACAGGTTATAGTTTAAAGTCCTTCACAAGGTACCTAAGTCCTTTCCTGAGTTGGTCTCTCCTCTCACTGTATCCCACTTGCTTCAGCCTTGCCCCATTCACAAGCTGTGCTGAACTATTTACAGAGCATCCACTGGCTGCTCAAGAGATATTGTCCATGCTGATCCTTTGACCTCAAATGCCCTTGTTGCTACCCTCTGCCCCATACTAGAACTCAGATCTTTACCTAGTTAACTTCTATTTGCATTTCAAGCTCCAGGTTGGGCATCATCTCTGGAAACTTTCTCTTGACTTTCTCAATAGTAACTGTAGGGTGATGTCTTACTAATGCTCCTTACACACACTATACAGGTATTTCTATGACAGCACCTATAGAACTGTGGCAGATTGTTTGCTACACATCTGCATCCTCATCAACAGTCTTGATAATGACCCTCTTGAAGGCAGGACCATAAACTATCTGTTCTTGTATTCCTAGTAGCCAGCATGGTGCTTGGCACAGAGTAGCTGGGCAGAAAATGTCTGTGGAAAGAATCTGTGTGTGTTTATGTGCAAATGTCCAAACAGATGTGTTCTTGGCATAAGGGAGACACATTCTGCTTGTGTGACAACTGGCAGTTGAGTTTGCTTGTCATCAAAAGCACCCAATTAAAGACCAAACCTCACTTCCTTCCTTTTCTTCATTTCCTCCTCTCTCTATAACTACCCAATCTCATATGCTTTATAACGCTTTTAGATGTAAGTGCCTGTGAATTATTACCAACTGTAGGTCTTTCATCTTCAAGACTGACAGTCTAAGTTCAACATCTCTCAGGAGGGAGAGACTATTATAACTATATTTTTGCTTACCAAGAGAATTGTTAATGGTTATCCTGGGGGGAAAAAAAAATCTATAAATATCCAACCTGTAATGAAGCCTTGAGCTTACATTTTTCCTTTACTAATGAAATGCTTTCTGACTATACTGTCAGAATTGCTACATAACTGTTACACAGAAAAGAGATCAAGTCTGTAGTAAATTTTTCTTTTACCTGTTTAGTTCTCACTTTGGAATCCGAAGACAGATTGTTGTAGGTATAATGTGCCTGTGTGACTCCACAGAAGAGAACAGCAACTATCCCTGAAATTAAAAAACAGATTAGTCAAAACCTATTTTCTATCTAAGTCAAAGAGTAGGGGGGACTATTCCAGCTGGAAAATAGACTTGGTGTCAGTAGATTAAAACTGCTAGTAATTACCATGATAATAAAACCTAGGTAAATCTTGTTACTTGCTTTAAACAGGGTTTAAACAGGGTCCTGAAGGATTAAAACTAAAGAAAAGCATTAAGAAGTAGATTCTAAATAAAAATGAGAAGTACATTCTTTCTGGAGATAAACGGGTCCCTGTTCATGAGCTAGTAAAGTTATACTTGAAAACATGAACAAAAGACTGCATAGTCAACCCTGGGCTTTTCCTAGGCAGTGCCAACTACTTTGCTGGATTTTATACTAAATACTGGCATATTTACTGCAAGATATTTGTTTTTCACTGTATACTTTGGGTAGCCTGACGAGGTTCTTGTCATACCATGATTTAGTATTAAAAGTCATGAGTGACAAACCTAAGATGTCTACAAAGGTTTTCCTGCCCCTGCTGATGTTCCTATTTGCCAAGCAAGAAAGAGGAGACCTTGTTTGCTTCTGTGCCTCTTTGAGAAGGCTGGGTGATCTGTCCTGCTGCTGAACACACTCAAGACATTCACTCCTTGAAGAAAAACTGGTCTGTTCTTGTGTGATTCCTACCAACAGTGGACCTTTAGCTGCTTCTTGGCCATCTGCAGGGTTTATTTCTTAAACCACACACCAGCTTTTAATGTGACATGAAGTCACACATACACTAGATGCTTTCTGGAGACAGAGGAATAGTGACCATGAGGCCAATGTGCTATCTGTCCCTGGGCGCTGTTATTCTCTGTGTTATTGTCCCTAGACTGGAGTGGGAAAGCAGTGGGATCTTCACTCTACTTTGGATTAAAGATTAGCTCAATTATGGGAAATTGAGCACAGAGGAGGGCTTTGGGAAAAACACAAGATATAAGTATTCCTCAACTCAGACCAAGGGGATTGAATTGAATTTTAAGTAGCAAAATCTTTCTAACTAAAAACACTCATAAATTAAAAGCTGATGATTCTTAAGTGTATAGAGATATGTGAACTGAATACTGATATTTCAAGTGAATCTGCAACAACGAATTTTAAAAAACTGAGGTTTTTAAAAAAATGTGTAGACTGTATCTTCTACTTACATGTTGGTTATATTTCAGGTCAGCATTGGATAAAATATTGCTAACACATATTTACATAAGTGTTTAGAATCTACATGTCTTATTGCCTTTTAACATTATGCTTCAAATTTTTGACAAAATAATAAAACAAGTCGAAACTTTTACCATGAAATATCTATTCAGTAGGTAATTCAACTGAGTTTTGGTAACTTCTCAGTTTCTTAGCATCTCTTCAGAGTTTCTAAGGCAAAATGCTCATAAACTATTTTACTATTCACAGAATTTCTATTTTAAAAAGCAATGAATACTAGGGAAACTTTTAGCATGCTGAAGCACTAAGTACTTCAAAGCACGAGGAGGATTACCCTGAATACTATTTTGGCATAAAGCATTTCTTTTTATTTATTTAAAGATGCAGCCTCTGTCGAGTGTGTAGTCTATTAGAGGTTTTTCTGGGTGAGGTTTTGCTGACCCGTTCACTGTTGTGGAACTGTTTTGACTAGGTATCGATCTGTAGAGAAGTAATGAATAAAAGGGCAGGTGTATGTGTGTGGGTAGTGAATAAATTCATTGTAAAAACAAGAATAGTAACAAAGAAGTGTTACAAAGGATAAGGAAGGGACTAAGGTTGTCTGAATAGCTACTGTGGGCCAAGAACAGTGCTTGTCTCATTTACATCTCCTGATTTACTGCAGTGAGTTACTGTCTCACAGCAGGCTCGGAATGATTAAGCAGCCTCTCCCCCACCTTCCGCTTTTTAGTAATAGCACCTCCATTCTTTCTGCAGCCCAGGAGCAAACTTTGGGACTACTCTATACTCTTCCTCTCACTGCACATCAGCAATTTTGTTTATTTGTCCTTCAAAATGTAACCCTAAGCCCAAATACTTCTCAACCTCTCCATCCCTAGCATCTCTTTTCAAGCCACCACAACTTTAAGACGGGATTACAACAATGGCTTCCTAACTGGCCTCCCTGCCTCCCATGGTGGCACTCGGCAATAGTGCTTCTTTAAAAATGAGTAAGACCATGTCAGGCCTTTGCTCAAGACTTTGTAATGAATTCCTGTGGCTTAAAAGACCCTGTAGGATCCGTTCCTGCCCCTTCCCCACTCTCCACAACTTGCTGACCTCTTCTCTGACCATATTCCTTCACCCCTTACCTTTCACTATCCTCTTTAACTGTGTTCTGCTATGGGCCCTTGCACTTCCTCCTACATCCCACTATTTGGAAAGCTCTGCAGATATCCACATGGCTCCCTCCCTCCTTAGATATCTGTTTAGATGTTGCATGAGCAGACAGGTCTTCTCCAATCACTCTGTACAAACTGTTCACTCTCTTCATTCTCTACTTGCTTTATTTTTTCCTGTATTATTTACTGCTATCACTTGGCTCCCATTTCTCTCTTGTCCGTTGCCATGTGAGATGTGCCTTTCACCTTCCACCACGATTGTGAGGCCTCCCCATCTACATGGACTTGTGAGTCCATTAAACCTCTTTTTCTTTATAAATTATCCAGTCTTGAGTATGTCCTTATCAGCAGCATGAAAACAGACTAATACACTGTATCACAAGGCAAAGCAGAGGGACTCCTTGATTTGTAACCCTTAGAGCAGTACCAGGCACATGGTAGGCACTCTGTATTTGTTGAATAAATAAGTGAACATTCCCATTTCTACTGAACAAAAGAGACACTAAAGTAATTTACTCAAGGTCACCTTGAAAGTGGCAGAGCTGAGATCAAAGAGTCCATAGACTCCCTGTGCTTTTCTGCCTACATTAGATCATCTGTGAGTATATTAAGGTGATCATAAGCCATCAAAAAAATATCATTTCTGATGTCCCGGGAACTAGCCAGAGATTTTATGATAAAGATTACATATCTGAACTAGCTGGGCTTATCATTAGAGAAAGTTTTCCTAGTGGCTGCATTGGTTATCATTTCCTCACCTCCAGTAGAAAACTAACAGGCGATGTTGTTGCTAAATACTTTTTGAGTCTTGTGTGGATGGATATGTCATATAAACAACAAACAATGGGGAATGAGCCTACATGACCAGAGGCTTGGTGTTGTAATTAAAATTAAACAGGGAGGAGGATCCAAGACGGCCAAATTGGAAGAGCTCTGGAGTGCAGTTCCCAGTGAGAACAGCACCGAGCGTGAGTGCTCACCACATTTCCAAACAAGTTTTCACTGCCCACAGACCAGGAGATTCCCAGGCCAAAAAGCGCCACGAGTTTTCAGCCTGGCAGTTTCAGTCGGAGCTGGGTTGGCACACAGAAACTCACACAAGTCTGGGTGGTTGTTTCGACTGGCGCCTGGAATGCCTAGAAGGCAGAGCCGCTCATTCAACTGAAAGGGAGGGGCCTGAGACAGGGACCCAGGTGATCTGGCTCAGTGGGTACCACCCCACAAAACAAGCAATTTGAAATGCTCTGGATTGAGAGTTTCACAGCAAGCACAGCAGGACCCAGGACAGTCCAGCACAGTGGGGGGAAGGGCGTCCCCCACTACTGAGGCAGTCCACCACTACCGAGGCAGTTCTCACAGCAGCTGATCAGAGCCTGCGGCAGCTCAGAAACACCTCTGCTGGCAGACTGTGACTAGACTACTCCGTGCAGGGTTGGATATCTATGAAAGAAGGCAACAGCACAACAGGAACTTGTAAATAAAGCCTACCTTCCTAGGACAGAGCACCTGGGAAAAGAGGTGATTATGAGTTCAGCTGTAGCAGACTTAAAGGTACCTACCCAACAGCTCTGCATGGAACAACAGAGCTCCCAGTACAGCACTTGAGCTCCTATAAGGGACAAACTGTCTCCTCAAGCAACTCCCCAATCCCCGTATACCCAAAGAGACACCTCGTAAAGGAGAGCTCAGGCCAACATCTGGTGGGTATCCTTTAGGGATGAGGATAGCAGAGGAAGAAACCGGTGGCAACCGTTGCTGTTCTGCAGCCCCTGAGGGTGATTCCCAGGTGAGCAGGGTCTGGAGTGGACCTCCAGTGGTCCTGCAGCAGAGGGAACTGACTGTTAGAAGGAAAACTAAGAAGCAGAAATAAATAGCTTCAAAATCAACAAAAAGGATGTCCACTCAGAGACCCCATCCAAAAGTCACCAACTACAAAGACCACAGGTAGATAAAGCCACTAAGATGGGAAGAAGCCAGCACAAAAAGAATGAAAACACCAAAAAACAGAATGCCTCACCTCCTCCAAGGGATCACAACTCCTCACCAGCTAGGGATCAAAGATGGATAGAGAATGAATCTGATGAGTTGACAGAAACAAGCTTCATAAGGTAGGTAATAACAAACTTCTCAGAGCTAAAAGAACATGTGCTAACCCAATGCAAAGAAACTAAGAACCTAGAAAAAAGGTTAGATGAGATGCTAACTAGAATAAACAGCTTACAGAAGAATATAAACAACTTGATGGAACTGAAGAATACAGCACGAGAACTTTGCAAAGCATACACAAGTTTCAATAGCTAAATCCACCAAGCAGAGGAAAGGATATCAGAGATTGATGATCAACTCAATGAAATAAAACGAGAAGGCAAGAATAGAGAAAAAAGAGTGAAAAGAAATGAACAAAGCCTCCAAGAAATATGGGATGATGCGAAACAACCTAATCTACATTTGATAGTTGTACCTGAATGTGACAGAGAGAATGAATCCAAGCTGGGAAATAATCTTCAGGATATTATCCACGGGGACTTCCCCAACCTAGCAAGGCAGGCCAATATTCAAGTCCAGGAAATACAGAGAACACCACAAAGATATTCCTCAAGAAGAGCAACCCCCACGAGGCACATAATCATCAGATTCACCAGGGTTGAAATGAAGGAAAAAAT